GTCACCTCCCTGATAGACAGAGGGAATGCTGTAGATGTAGTATATCCTGACTTCAGCAAAGCTTTTGACAAAGTTCCCCATGATATCCTGATTAGTGTCATGAGTGCAGCTGAAGACCTGGAACTAGAAGGGTTAACTGAGGCTGAGGAGAATGCTGAGCAATCAGAAACACCTGAATCGCCTCCAGATTCTCCTTCCCCAGCAGACAAGCTTCTGGCCAGGCTTTGGGGAAGACTTATGGTAAAAAGGTAAGAGGATTGCTCGAAGGCTGTCCACAGAAACATCCGTGCAACTAGACCTGAGTATTGACAGAATGGAAAGGTTTCCAGCAGCTCAAGGGGCTGTTTTACTATAAAAACAGCTCCTAGTCAGCTAGAATTTCGTGGAAACAACAAGTCAAAACCTCTGACTTGCATCCATGCTCCTACAACCTTGAACCATGTTTCCTAAACTCCTGACTCTGGACTCTGACTTTGGACTACATTGTGTGTTTGACCTTGGACTCTGACCTTGGACTACGCTGTGTGTTTGACTCTGGACTCTGACCTTGGACTACGTTCTGTGAGTTGGTTTGGTAATTGGATATCAGCTTTGCATTCCTAGTATTCCTGACTTTGGACTGGCTTATCAGACCTCGGCTGTTGTAACCCCCAGGAACGTGACAATTAGCAAGTGCCAGGGGGATACACAATTGGTTACAGAATCAAACTCAGAGGTTGATGATTAATGGGTTCTTCTCTAACTGGGAGGAGGTAACTAGTAGGGTACCCCAGGGCTAACTCATGGGCCCAGTGCTCTTCAATATTTTTATTAATGACTTGGAGAATGGAGTGTAGGGAATGCTTGTCAAATCTGCAGATGATACAGAATTGGGCAGAATAGCTAATACCCTAGAAGACAGAAACAAAATTCAAAACAACCTTTATATGATGGAGCACTGGGCCGAAAGCAACAGAATGAAATTCAACAGGGATAAGTGCAAAGTACTGCATCTCGGAAAAAGAAATCAATTGCACAGTAACAAGATGGGGGATACCTGGCTCAGCAAAACAATAAGCGAGAAGGATCTTGGAATTGTCGTAGATCACAAACTAAATAAAATATAAGCCAACAGTGTAATGTGGCTACAAAAAAGGCAAATGCTATTTTAGGCTGCATTAATAGAAGTATAGTTTCCAAATCCCACAAGGTGCTAGTCCCCTTCTCTCCAGCACTGGTTAGGCCTCACCTTGAGTATTGTGTCCAGTTCTGGACACCACGCTTCAAGAAGGATGCTGGAACAAATTCAGAGGAGGGCAACAAGGATGATCAGGGAGCTGGAAACCAAGCCTTATGAGGAAAGGCTGAAAGAACTGGCATGTTTAGCCTTGAGAAAAGAAGACTGAGGGTTGATATGATAGCACTGTTCAAATATATGAAAGGCTGTCATACAGAGGAGGGGCAAGATCTGTTCTTGATCATCCCAGAGTACAAAACAAACAACAATGGGCTCAAGTTAATTTCAGTTGAACATCAGATTGAATATCAGGAAAAATTTCCTAACTGTTAGAGCAGTACGACAGTGGAAACAGTTACCACAGGAGTTGGTAAGTGCTCCAACACTGAAGGTAATCAAGAAAAACCTAGATAATCACCTGACAGATATGCTTTGATTGTATTCCTGCACTGAGCAGGGAGTTGGACTTGATGGTCCTGTAAGCCCCTTCCAACTTCACTTTTCTATGGTTCTATGATTGTCTGCCTTTGCTAAGCAACTTAAAAAAAGATGCTACTGTATAAACAAACAAATGTTCATCATAAAATATCAGACTAGTTTCTAGAAGGTGTGCATATTAAGTTAGTCTATTGCATGGTGATACAACAGCAAGCATGTTTCTGATCTCACAAATCCCGTATTCAGGCCATAGCATCTTATACTCAGGGCTAAGATTTCCACAGTAGCGTTAACATTATTATCAAAAACAAGTGTGCTCATATGAGCATACTACACTTCTCCTCCCATAGAGTCCCTTTCTTCTTCAAGGCACACTGCTCTAGAGGATTCTCTTCCTTTCATGGATAGTTTTACAATGTACAGTATAGTGGAGTACCGTGGAAGGATGGAGATGGGAAGCTCCCATTCTGTGAATGTATATCTTGTCATGGGAGTTACAATCAAAAGCAGTATTCCAACTCTCTCTCTCTCTCTCTCTCTCTCTCTCAATCAGTTTAATTTGCAGAATTAGTTCAGATCACAGAACTTGGCTGTCTAGTGTGTAGAACCTGTGTTACTTTGGGGCACCTTTTTCACTGACGAAAAGCATAGCACACATAGCTTTACTGAAAGAGCGAAGATCAGAAATCTACATAAATTCAGCCTGGTGAAGGGTTAATTTTGACAATGTTTATTTGCAGAAATAGCAGCTAATGAAAGGCATGTGACAGTGATAAATTTCTGTAACTAAATTCTAGTAAATAAGAAAGCCCAAGAATTTGATGTTGAGTAGAAAATTCTCTTTCTATTAAGCAGTATGACTTATGAGAGACTGGAGAACATCCCAAAGGACATGGTTGCATTTGATACAGATTGGAATTAAGGAGAAATATGGTAACTTTGAGATTATGAGCAAAAGAAACTGCCTAGGACAGTGAAAGCCTAATTAACATTCGAAGAACCTTAAAGCAAGCTGAGGCAGAGCAGCCCAGGGGGAGCAAAAGGAACAGGAGGAAATGCTAAGCATGTCTGCAAAAACCTGACACTTCAATCAGACAAGAATGTTGATCACAGCAGGCCAGCAGGCTTTACTGGAGGAAAAGGAGTTGGCCAACAGTTGGCAAGGGAGACAGGGAGTAGTAGATTGGACAATCCCATGTAACGTTGGCAGTCACTAGAAAGGAGCAAAGAAAGGCTGGTTGATCAACTCGGGGGGACGGCAGAGAGGAACGCCAAGAAGAATAAACAAAGGTTTTATTCTGGAAGAACTTTGACCATTCCACTGCTGAGGTGAGTAGAAACCGGATTCCTGAAACAAGATGTTTCCCTATCAGTTTTTAAATACACAAATTCCTCTACATTGATATACTATACACAGATAAACACATTACCATTGTACAGTTCTTGGGACTGAAACAGTAAAAGGGTGCTTGCAGTTACATGTAGAATTATGCTCCAGTGCAATTCCTTATATTTCTTACCACAGCCTTGCTTGAACTTTCTTGCAAATCCCACAGAAGCAAGTGGTTATCAGACACGGAAAGCAACTTTTTCCCATCTCCCATTGGCTCCCAAGTGACACTATATGAGAAAGAAAGAAAGAAAGAAAGAAAGAAAGAAAGAAAGAAAGAAAGAAAGAAAGAAAGAAAGAAAGAAAAGTCATGTAAATATGAGAATTATGAAAACATGCATACATAATATTTTTGGGGGGGTTCATTTATACGAAAGAAAGAAAGAAAGAAAGAAGAAAGAAGTCATGTAAATATGAGAATTCTGAAAACATCCATACATAATATTTTTTGGGGGTTCATTTATACCTTTTGCATAACCACTGTCTTCAGAAACCACATCCGTCAAATGCCTTCATGACTGTACTGCTATCTGCAGAACACCATACATAACAATACACAATAATGTTAAATAATGCAGAATATCACTTATTTTATTTCAAAATGTATATTTATTTATTTATTTATTTATTTATTCATTCATTCATTCATTCATTCATTCATTAGATTTTTACCCCGCCCCCCTAGACAATGTCTATATCCTACTTCCTAGCAAGAGCTCTTAAAGCAATTTATAAGTTATATGCCAGAATGAAACTAATAAGAGCATACTGTTAATGTGAGAGTATTACTGAAATGAGGAACGTAAAATCTACATGTTATAGCCCTCAAATCACTTTGGGTGTTCGCCCAACAGGCTTCAGGAACTGATTTGTCCTCAAGAGATCAAGCCAAGAAAGTAAAGCAAGGTTACTTTCAGCTCCTGTCTCTCTCTTCTTTGTCTTAATTCAGTTACTCAGTATAACTTCTTGACTCCTATTCATCTGGCTTATCTTCATAATCAACCACTCTCAGAATCTGGAGGAAGTAGGACACAAGTGGGAAGACCCAATAAATAATTCAAGTCCTGTTGTCTTGGTTCCATCTCAAGAAAATAGGTGGTCGTGAAAGTTCTCCTTCTGACAAAACGTGTTAGTGGAAGCTGAGGTGGGAAGAGTATGTGCAATTCCTCATCACTGCAAGCTCCCTCTGCTGTGGAGCACTGAGTGACCATCCAAAGCAGATTTTCATGGAGCACAGGGAAACAAAGAGGAAGAGGAGGTTCTGTGGCTAATTTGACCTCCGTTCACACAATACTGTACTGGGTTTCACACATTACCAATGCAGTATCTGTTACACATGTTAGCAATGTACTGTAGTATCAAAAGCTCACATATTCTCTTCTTCAAAGGAGAACACTGGAGCACATTGGTCTCCAAGCCTATACAGGTTTTGAATTGTCACAACCATGAAATCCCAAAACCTCTAACAGTATAAGTAGAAACTGGCACCATTTGAGATTTACTGCCCAGGCATGATAGCAAAGTAGGCTGAAGTGCCAATCAATGGCTTTGTTCTGCCTGGTTTATTGACACTAGAATCCACGTTCAAAGATCATTTCTGTAATTTGAAATGCCACTGTCTTTCCTATTCAGAAATGTGAAGAGGAGGAGAGTAACATCCCCCTCAGAATTATCGAAATGTGAACGTTATTGCATTTTAACATTTTTCTCTGAGCTGTAACAAGAAGGTGTTAATAGCCTGACAGAAAGAGTGCTAACTAGAAAGAAGTATAACTCAACCAATACACCTTGAAAAGATTTAAGACTATTCTTGTCAAGATGGACATTTTATTTCACTGCTAATTTATTTTATTGAAAATCATGGTTCACTTTTTTATGGGTGCAACTGTAGTAACCCTTCAGGGTTTATGCTGGAAAGGAAGAGTACTCTTCTTTTTTGAATAAAAAATAATCCTGTAGTAGAGCTACCTGTACAATGGTGCTTCAACTTAAAACCGACTTGGCTTGCAACCAATTTGAGTTACAACCAGCTCCGGTCACAACAATTTTGCTTTAGCTTGCAACCAGTGTTTTGAGATACAACCGGAAAAAGGCCTCTTTTCCCCATTGTTCCTTCCCTCCCTCCTTTCCTGCCCCTTTTTTAACCTTAGAGGTCATCTTAGGTAAAAAAGAAAAAAGAAAAAGAAAAGAGTCTCTCCTTAGTGGACGGATTAACCGCTTTTGCATTAGTTCCTATGGGAACTAATGCTTTGAGAACGGCTGGAATGGATTTTAGTTCCTATGGGAACTAATGCTTTGAGAATGGCCGGAATGGATTTATCACTCTTCAATGTATTCCTATGGGAAATGGTGCTTTGAATTACAACCAACCTGAGTTACAACCATCATCTGGAACGAATTAAGTTTGCAACTCAATGCACCACTGTACCTGGAAATGATAGTCACATGAGGATGAAACCCAAAACCTGTCAAGACGAATTAAGTTCGCAACTCAAGGCACCACCGTACCTGGAAATGATAGTCACATGAGGGTAAATCCTGTCAAACACAAACTGACTTGATGCTCGGATGCATCCTGACTTATGCTTCAAATAAGATTTTTTTTAAAAAACAAAAAGCTTACTGTGTATCTTTTTTGCTTTGTTTTAATCTTCAGAAATGTCCTTGTTTTCTAACTATAGAAATTAAATGTTGAAGAGGGAAGTGCCTCAGTCACCATCAAAAAGGACGGCACCAAACTGTGATTACTCTTAGGAAGTACTCATAATTTGGGTTCAATTGACTGTTTTGATTTGTTTTGGCTTTGCTTTGCTGGGGTGCCACCTGCATTTAATCTCCAGATGTTCTAATATGGTGACTGCCATATTTCTTGGTGCTTCTCCTATGAGCCACATCAGGAGCTGTGTCCTTTGACAAAAGGGAGTGGAGAGTACCCCTAAGCGATTGGTAGCCCTCTGCCTACAGAAAGAAAAATAAATAAAAAGAGACACACACAATTGATCTTACAACCCATGAGACGAAAACTGATACTATTGCACTCTGAAGCTGGTTCTTCAAATGTGCCATCACTCTCTTGAAATTCCAGTTTAACATTAGATCCTGAGACTTCAACATCTAGCCAGAATGATTTGGGTGGCGGGAGGGGGGGAGCTTTATGATTTCTTTTTTTCCCCTTGCCTAACCATAAATGTTGAAGACACAGGATCTAAAGTTATACAGGAATTGACTCCTTTTGTCATGGGGGGGGGGGGGTTGTTAAGGGCCATGGGAGATCTTTGTAATTTGCCACCAGGCATGCAAAAGGGAGTGGAGAGTACCCCTAAGCGATTGGTAGCCCTCTGCCTACAGAAAGAAAAATAAATAAAAAGAGACACACACAATTGATCTTACAACCCATGAGACGAAAACTGATACTATTGCACTCTGAAGCTGGTTCTTCAAATGTGCCATCACTCTCTTGAAATTCCAGTTTAACATTAGATCCTGAGACTTCAACATCTAGCCAGAATGATTTGGGCGGCGGCGGGGGGGGGGGAGCTTTATTATTTCTTTTTTTCCCCCTTGCCTGACCATAAATGTTGAAGTCACAGGATCTAAAGTTATACAGGAATTGGGGGGGGGAGTTGTTAAGGGCCATGGGAGATCTTTGTAATTTGCCACCAGGCATGCTATCCTGGTTTCCCCATGGCAAAAAGAGATTCCATGGGAGCCTTGCGACCTGTGTCAGGATGCAGAGGGCAGACTTGGCAATGTTTTGTTTCTTTAAAAAAATGTCATGACTGATGATGTCAATGAAGAAAAGTCTATTAAGCAAAGTGAGGAATTCAGCTATGGATTATTACCAACTCTCCCCTGCTACTACAAAGTATAGTATAAAATAATCTCTCATCCTCAAGAGAAATTAGTGAACAATTAGGGTGTATGTATGTGTCAGTCTGTATGGCTCAGGAGCTAAAACAAAAAGCAAAACAGGATTTCCTAGTTACATTCTATACTATAACTGAGCTCTTAAACATACTATTACTTGTGTGCAACACAAAATTCACACACATTCCCACAGGAAAAGGCACAGAAGAACCAAAGAAAGATGGTTACAACAGCGTGTGTTCACAGAATGTTTATTGTTTTAAATTCTTGATACTGCCTGAAATATTTGTTTTAAAAACTCCAGTATGTGTGTATAGCTGAACACGCCCCCATATTTCTAGTATGTGTTTTTACCTGCAAAATCCATATTTCATATAAACCTGTGCCAAAGAGCACAGGTCTACCCCGTACTTTTTCTCATCCCAGCAAATATAAAATATGCAGAATCCTACCCGGCCATATTGCCATAGGCTGTGTTGTCAAGGTGACAGAGTAGCTCCAGGGTTTGAGCGTTGCTTGATGAATCATCAGGGGATTCATGACTGCCTGATTCCAATTCCTTCGGCATCCTCCAAACAGCCGCACATGTCATGACTTTACTGTCTGAAGCTAAGGAACAGAGGATAATGTCAACAGATCACAGCATGGGGAGGTGGGGAGATAATCTGGAATAGAGCGCATCAGTATTGTTGCAACCACAGGCAAAGCACAGCACATCTGCCATTTAAAATATTTAAATAATCCTATCGAGCTTGGCTCTGACAGTACAGCACACAGACATCATGACTGGTGAGCGAGCAAGCCTGTAATGCACAGCCCATAAGGTTTAACTCTCGTTTCTAAAATTCTGAAGCTAAATTTTGGGTAGCTTATGAAATTTCACTGGAGGGGCTCCCCCCCCCCCAATGTGCTGCTTCCTCTATGTTCATTTCAATTAACACTGGAAATTACAGAGCTCTCTAGCTGTGGGCACTTTCCCGCCCCCCCCCTACTAATAATACAGGCACAATTTTAAGGTCTCTCACTCTGGCTATGCTGAATTACCTTTAATATGCATATGTGGCACTAAATCACCTCTTTTGCAGAGAACACTGTAAAAGCTCTGTATCTACAGAACTCCCTCCCATGCTAGGTTCAATTTTCACCATAATGTTCAAACAGTCCGACAAACCCCTCCTCACTTACTGCCCCCCCCTGAATTTAATATGAAAGGTCCCTGCCAGCTCCAGATTTACCAGGAGATGGGACGTGTACAAAATGAATACCCACAAAGACTGCTAGTGCAGAGGGAAGGTGAAACCATCTAAGCAAAGAATGCTAGTCCTTGGAAGGTTTGGGTGGTGGTAGTGTCCATCTCCAGATCTTTGAGTGTCTTTCGCACAGCATTTATGCTCTTTCAGGCTGATAAAATGATTAGTCAGCCTGCTTTATTCATGTTTTGTTTTAAAGATTTATTGTGGAGTACAACAAACATCTATACAGGGTGGGAAAGCAGAAGCAGCTGTAGGACTACTAATGGCAGTCGTTGTTGCCATCTTGATAGTGGCAGCAATAGAAAGTACAGATACTTTACCACTCTCTTTCTTACAATAGTTTTTCAAATTCAGTTAACGACAAGAGACACTGGCTGAAGTCCTGTTGCTTGGCAAAGTAAGTCATGCTAAAGTAGGTCCACTGAATCAGTGGGGGAATCTGACAAGTCAACGCCTCCATAAGCCTCATTGATTCAAATGGGTCTACTCTAGCTGCAGCTTTCTAGGAAAAGAAATAGAACTTCACTGAGCAAAAATAGCATACAAATGAATGGGTGGATGTGTTTGGGGCCAGAAAAATCCCCCTGGAAGCCACAGGTGATCTTCAGGCACCACATGCCCCCTTTCTGCAGCAGAAGGAAGAACATGGGAGTCCTCCGTGTAAGGCAATCCCTTCTGGATCAATGGAAGAAAAAGAACACTAGGACAGGTGGGAAGAGCAGTTGGGTGGGTGGGTGAGTGGGAGACATTCAAGGAAAGAACATCAGAATGGAGAGTGGCAACTCAAAGATTTGTAATGCATATGAAGCTGAGTAGTGCTAGTCAAGAGAGTCAGTAAAACATAACAGATCTAATTCATTTTTCATTTTCTTTCTATCTACTACCAATATTTGAAAGGCAAACCAATGCCTACGCTTCAGAAACATGGCTGCAATAAAGAAAATTAACTGGAGATTGGCTAGACAGATCTCTCACTTTCAAAGTACAACTACTGCTAACTGTATCAAGATTGTGCCTATTTGCAAGCTTAAGACAATCTGTTGAGTAGGAAGGTATCAGGTTTTCACATCTTGCAAACCTGGGTGACATTCTTCAGTGCCTCCCAGACAAGCCTCTTTCTTTACCGAGAGGCTAGATTATGACGTATCTCATTTCTGCTCATATGCTCAAGACACACAAGTTTTTTTTTCCTCTCGGTCTCAACTAACTTGAGCATTTGTCCATCCCACACCTCCATACCTTCTTGGTATGTTTTTCACTGTGCTTTTGAATTCCCATCTTCAAGAATGCTCAGCATTTTCTACATTATCACTTGTTTTACAAAAGCCACACACTTCAACTATTATGGAGCCCTGAATATCCAAAGCTTTTCATAATTTTCAGCCAGAAAGGAATGATGAGTGTACATGATGGGAAATGGTTGTGTGTACCTATCTTGTATGCCTTACATGAGACAGAAATTGCCCAGGAGTCAACAGTACAAGGTGACTTACTAATTATTTATTTACTACATTCATGTCCCTCCATTTCTTCCAGGGAGCTCAGGATAGTAGAAGGTACCACAGGGATGGGGAAAACCCTGTGAGCTCAACCTTGTATTTTGAGCTTCATGACCAACTGATGAGTAGAGAACCTATGGCCCTCCAGGTAGCAGACTACAGTTCACATCACCACTGGTCATTCACTATGCTGGCTGGATTGATGGGAATTGGAGTCCAACAGCACTGAATGCTGACTGACCCTTTGGAGGCAAAAACAGAAAACCAGGTGAGGATTATGGAAAGGGCACAGTTGTCTGGAACCCTAAATAGGCACACTCCAGTTGCCGGTTCTAGTGCTTTTTGAAAGAGAACTCATCAAAAATATTCATCTGAGCAGGAGGAAGTCTATTACAGTGGGGTCTCGACTTACGAACGGCTCAACATACGAACGTTTTGACTTACGAACCGATCTCATAGGAATATATGGACTCGACTTACGAACTTGGATTCGAGTTACGAACTCTTTTTTTCCCTTTTTTTAAAAGCTAAGTCATCTTAGGTTAGAGGGAAAAAAAGAAAAAATATCCCCCTCTAGTGGCAGAAGGCGGAATAGCAGCTTCCCATTAGTTTCTATGGACGAAAAGAGCCATAGAATTGGAATACGGATTAAATGGTTTTCAATGCATTCCTATGGGAAATGCAGATTCGACTTAAGAACTTTTCGACCTGAGAACTGCCTTCCAATACGGATTAAGTTTGTAAGTCGAGACCCCACTGTACAACATGCATCTAGTCCTCTAATGATTGTTAGATGAAACTCTTTCCACAAAAACTTTCTTCTTATATATGTATACCACAAGGGAGAATGACATTCCCTCAGGCCTAGACTCAGTTCCTTTAAACACTACTCTATAGAATTTCAGGCACTCGTGGCTGGTTGTTCTAGTAGTTTTAGTGAAATTATTTCAAAGAACTAAACTTGACTTGATCAGACCAATATATTTTCTCAAGCCTATCTTTTAGTTTCAATATACTTTTTGTCTTCCTGATGAGCTGACAAGAGTGAGCTGAACCACTTTGAGGCAGTGAGAAGTCAATCTTTCTGGCTGCTGTGTTTTTTCATACTCTAATATTTTATTATCATCTAACCAGTGCTGAGTCTCTGCAAGGATATAAATCTAAGCTTTATGAAAACATAAACTCTTCCTTTCTCACACACACACACACAGACACACACACACAGAGAGAGAGAGAGAGAGAGAGAGATGAAGGTGTGGTGAAGCTCCGACTTTGAAGCCATCTGTTATATTTTTTTAAAGTCAAATGATTAAGCACACCAGCGTCCTGTTGGCAACATACATTACTGAATGCTTCTTCCATGTACATCACAGCAAAACTCTGAAAGAGTCACCTATTGACTTGCACAGTTTTAGAAGGTCGTTAGTTCTGCAACTCCGAAAAAGCTCTAAAGTACTTTCATGTCCCATCGCAGAGATAACAAAGATGCCTTTGCCTCTAAACAAATCTGAACTTAAGGTGGCTATTAGGCCCAAGCATATGGTGCTTTCCTCCTTCATACGCATGGAAGGCAACGTAGAGAAAATTGTAATCATTTATGTACCATGTGTGGCAATTGGTAGGGAATGAAGTGACTCCAATCAGCAGAACTTCACTTATGCACTGACAGTTATTCAGCTGGGGGATCAGTAAGACTCCTTTAAGCACTCACAACATAATGGCTTTGTTTGTTTGTTTTTGTTGTTTGTTTGGTTTGAGAACTCTCAACATTATAAAAGTGATATTGGTTAGGGAGTTTGAAGTCATAATCTTCAAAAGACAAACTGCTGAGCTGGCTATCCGCGGTCATTTTGCTTCCTGACCCATGATGATTGTGGGGGACACTATCAACTCCTACACAAGATCAATGGTCTGACGGAAACCACAGAGTCGCTCACAACCTACAGTGTTCCTGTAGTAGATACAGGAGTTCAAGACTTTTATCAGAGAAAGACTGGCCACCTCTTTAGGAAGAGAGAAAAAACAAAATGTGATTCCTCAGATGCTTCTTTCCCTGTCTGAACACATGATCAATAATTCTGACAGTGTTGTAAATGAGTTCCTCCCCCTCAATTTCATTAGGGGGGAAAGAACTGTTGGATCCTGCAGATCCTAGACCCTCAGGGGCTCAGGAGGCTGAACATCCAGAGGAAGGTGACCCTGGGCCTGAGGAGGAGGCGGGACTACTTCCCAGCCCACTAGGATGGCACAGAATACAGGCCCAAGTCTGGACAGAAACCCCTAGGTGAAGAGATGGAGCGAAGGGCTCCTCCTCAAGAGTGAGGGCTGCCCTTGAGAGAAAGCTCTTTCCCTCAGGGAGACCAATAGGCCATATACTGCAGCTGAGCTGCTAGATGTTCATGGACTGCAACTCCCAGAAGCCTTCACCCCTAGCTGTGATGCCAAGGACTTCTGGGATTTGCAATCCAAGAACACCTGGAGACCAAGGTTGGGAAGAATTGATTTAACCCAAGGTTTTATTTATTCGACTTGTACACCGCCCACACTCTGCAAGAGTCACCAGGTGACTAGGACTGATGACATTGTTTCCTGTTTCTCCAGACTGTCTTGCACCCTGACTTAATTGCTGACCCCTTGCTGTTTATGACTTCTGGACTGCAGGACTCCACTTCTTGGACCAACGCACTCTTTCTTTTTTCTCCTTCTATATTACCAGCCTGGCTTGATACTGAAATTCTTCATGGATTTAAGTCTTTGGATCACCCCTCCTCATCCCTTGACTTTCCTGACTAGCCAACGGGACTCTGGCTGTGAGATGTCTGTACACTGCGATAAGTCTGCACAGATTTTGTCCTCA